TTGGAAACAGACTTTATGACCGACAGATAGACAGATAGACAGATAGACAGATAGATAGATACATTTACAACGTGTTACATTTCTTCCTTACACTCATCTCATTTGTGTGAGTGAGTGACGTTCATTTGTGAAGATGTTATGCTGACTGCCATAAAACTGCCTGTAACAGCCGATTACTGTATTTACTGTATTATCACCCTATTTGCATTGACAGACAGATAGAGATGTATTAGCTTGCCTTTTAATTTCCGTTTGTTATCTTATTAACAGGAGGCGAAGTTGCCTGCTGCTGCCATAAGTCTCACTGACTAACTATGACTATCCATCTATCATGACTATCTATCTATCATGACTATCTATCTATCATGACTATCGATCTATCACGACTATCGATCTATCACGACTATCTATCTATCATGACTATCTATCTATCATGACTATCTATCTATCATGACTATCTATCTATCACGACTATCTATCCATCACGACTATCTATCTATCATGACTATCTATCTATCATGACTATCTATCTATCACGACTATCTATCTATCACGACTATCTATCTATCACGACTATCTATCTATCATGACTATCTATCTATCACGACTATCCATCTATCATGACTATCCATCTATCATGACTATCCATCTATCACGACTATCTATCTATCACGACTATCTATCTATCATGACTATCCATCTATCATGACTATATATCTATCATGACTATCCATCTATCACGACTATCTATCTATCACGACTATCTATCTATCACGACTATCTATCTATCATGACTATCTATCTATCACGACTATCTATCTATCACGACTATCTATCTATCATGACTATCTATCTATCATGACTATCTATCTATCATGACTATCCATCTAACATGACTATCTATCTATCACGACTATCTATCTATCATGACTATCTATCTATCACGACTATCTATCTATCATGACTATCTATCTATCACGACTATCTATCTATCATGACTATCTAACTATCATGACTATCTATCTGAAAGGCTAATCATCGGACATAACAATCAAATAGAAGCATCAAGTAGAAGAGAAGAGAAATAAGTTAGTTAGCTATTAATCTAGATAGCAAGCGAATCACCGGACATGAGATGCAAAAGCACCCAGGAGTTCTATCAAACAAGACCTTGATGAAACAAGCGACTCACACAAACAACAATCGAGTAGAAGGGAATACAAACAAGTGAGTTATTCATCAATCCATCTGATTATCAAGCGAATGATCAGACATGACATCCGAGGACACATCCGAAGACTTCTATCAATCAAGACCTTTATGAAACAAACAACCGAATCGCAAAGGCAACAAACAAGTGAAAATAAAAACAAACACGTGAGTCTGTCAACTATCTAACAAGCGAACCATCGGGCATACGATACAATGACACCAACAACTTCAATCAGTCAACACATTTATGAACAAGCGAATCACAAAGGCAATGTTTGAGGATAGAGACGGACGTGCTGCTGATCAAAGGAGCGGGCAACCCTCGTCTATTAAGACGGAGACAGAAAGAGCTTCGCTCAAAGGATCCAGCAAACCAGGTTTCAAGGAACAGAGACGGCAAGAAGGACTTTGTGGATAGAGACGGACGTGCTGCCGATCAAAGGAGCGGGCAACCCTCGTCTATTGAGACGGAGACAGAAGGAGCTTCGCTCAAAGGATCCAGCAAACCAGGTTTCAAGGAACAGAGACGGCAAGAAGGACTTTGTGGATAGAGACGGACGTGCTGTCGATCAAAGGAGCGGGCAACCCTCGTCTATTGAGACGGAGACAGAAAGAGCTTCGCTCAAAGGATCCAACAAACCAGGTTTCATGGAACAGAGACAGCAAGAAGGACTTTGAGAATAGAGACGGACGAGCGGCCGATCAAAGGAGCGGGCAACCCTCGTCTATTGAGACGGAGACAGAAAGAGCTTCGCTCAAAGGATCCAACGAA